CAACATAATACTTTCAGTCACTTTCATACCGGTATAGCGCCCACCCCAAGTCAGCAGGAAGAGTCAAACAGTTTACTTAACGGTGGCAACTTCTTTAAGTTATTCTTTACTGTGTTGTATTGACTGCTTTGATGCGTTGCAATACGGTATGGCATTGTTTTGATTCTTACATCAGAAAAAAAAATTATTTTGCTTTTATTTTATTTTTCTTGCACACACACTCACACACATATTTAGCAGTTATCTGCCATCACCTACCTCTCTTATAATGCCATACCTCTCTTATAATTTACTTACCATTTTCACCAGTGTAAATCATTGAGGGAACAAAGACTTAAAATCATCCAAATTATATAATACTCACCAACATTTGTCAAAATCAGGCAGTGACGACCCTAACTGCATTCTCCTCCGGGCAACATCTAGTGGATATCTGTGCAGAAATATTAGAAAGTATGTTTTATACAGAATGTAAAATGTATGTACAGTAACTCAAATGCATATATGTAGCATACCTTTTATTATTTACTTCAGTTTAAAACTAAATAATGGTTCTAAAATAGAAAACTACAAACAAGGGATTTAAAAACTAAATAAACATACGAAATAGTTTGAGCAATTGCTCCAGCAACTCCACCACACATCAGATTGACATGAGTCTTCAGCACAAGAACATCAGGGTTGTCAAGCGACGGCTTGCCTAAGAGCTCTGGAAAGCGAGTAAGTCCCAGAGTCTTCAATGTACCAAAAGTGAAAAATGAAAAGCCTGGAACATAGAGAAAACAATGACATGAGGCAGTAAACTAAAGTAAAAATCTTTTCAGTTGTGTGAGAAGTGTTCAAAAAGTTTTCCTGCACATTGTCCTGTATAATTTACATAAAATAGACAAGAAAATAACCTGCATATGGAGCCATGCCAATGATTGTGGGGGTCAGACCATGGTAGAATCCAGAGATTCCTCCTTCCTTTAAAGATAAAACACTGTCATGCAAAAGGGAAGCACAGGAAGGTTTTCAATTAAACTTCTTTCCCGTCTTCATACCTTAAGGTAAATAGTCTGAAAGGCATTTCGTATGCCAGTGTAGCGATGCTCTCCTGTCACTTGAAACGCCAAGCGTGCTCGGATAACATCGAGTGGATAAGTGAAAATAACTGCAGTCATCCCTGCAGAAAGAATATAATGCAGATAAATACATAACACTTATCATGAAGTTACAAAGATCTTGGAAAAGAGTCATGGAAAACAATCCCAAACCTGCCATAGATCCTGCCATGAGCCGATGAATATGCCCAGATATTCCAAGTTTTGTGTTAAGGAACTGAAAGTACATCGGAAATAGCTTAGTGCAAGCATTACATAATCTAAACAGAGTGTAAACTTGGCATTAGTACAAAACTTTGTATTGTTAACACTGAAGTTGGGAAAGCTACATTGAAATTGCTACAAGGTACTGAAAAAAAGAAAGAAAAAAAGTTAAGCTACTGACAAAAAGTGACCATATACAGTAATTTCAAATATATAACCATTAGATAAAATAATTGATTTTACTCAATATAATTTAGTAGTATTTATCAAGCCCAATCTCATTTGTAGAGATACACTTACAATGAATACAACTAATAAAAAAGTGGAAAACTGTGTTATTGATACCAGAATAAAACATAAAATGCCCCACACAAACTACCTCAACTTCTCAAATAAATCTGTGAATCCTTTTTTGAACTGGATCACTGAAATAAATCATGAGTTAACCAAATCCTTCAAATAAATCAGACTAGTGCTTCACTTGAGGACAGTTTAGGAGATTGCGTTTGATTATTGCCTATTTTTATGCCTGCATGTGCAATACAATGTATCAAAAACCGCAGAAGTAGTACTGGAAAAGCTATGGTATTCTGAACAACTGTCACACTACTAAAAATATAGCTATGTTAGGAACATCACTATGTTTAGCTTGTTATTCCCCAAGACTATGAAACAAAAGTTACCTTTTTGTAGTTATCAAAAGCCATAAACTGAATGGCTCCATATGGAAAAATCCTGATCATCATGGCTCCATTTCCTTTGTATAGTCCAAGGAAACCCTCTTTTTTTGGCACTGCCTTAAGTGTGGCAAACACTCCTGGGAAAAACAAAAACACAAGATAACATCAACACATTCAACCGTTTGGTGTATTCTAATGCATAGTTCTTTTACAAATCAAGTTGCACGAAAATATCTGTCCATCAGAAACATTCTGGGTTTAACCTACCAAGGTGTTTATAATGAGGATTTTGAGCTTGTAGTAAAATTTTCACTCTATCGAGAGGCGCTATGGTGGACTTGGCACAGCATCCTGCAACACCTAAAAATAAAAAATAAAAGGATTAACGTTTAATCCAGAAGTAATTCATTTTAAAGTAAAAACAATCATAATAACACACTCACTAGAAAAAAATACATAGTTTATTTGTCTACCTGCATGTCATGTGACCATTAAAGGAATAGTTCTCCCAAAAATGAAAATTTGCTGGACATTTACTCACCCCAGGCCATCCAAGATGTAGATTTATAATTTGTTTCTTCATCAGAACAGATTTTGAGTAATTTACATCACTTGCTCACCAGTGGATCCACTGCAGTGAATGGGTGCCGTCAGAATGAGAGTCCAAACAGCCGATAAACGCATCACACTAATCCACATGACTCCAGTTCATCAATTATCATCTTGTGAAGTGAAAAGCTGCATGTTTGTAAGAAACAAGTCCATCATTAAGACGTTTTTAACTTCAAAACCATTGCTTCCAGCTAAAATACTAGACTCACTATCCGGAAGATTGCTTCCTCCAGTCCTCTCATCTGAATCGGGAGAGAAATATGCACAGATACAAGCGAAAACAGTTCTAAAAAATTATGTTGGTGAATATTGAAGTGAGAGGACAACAGGGGATGGACTTTTTCACTAGAGGAAGCGTTATTGTGGTTTATGGACTTGTATTTTGGCCAGAAGCGACGGTTTAACTTTAAAACGCCTTTCAATGCTTAAAACAAATGCGTTTCTTTCAAGCATGCAGCTTTTCACTGCACAAGACATTAACTGATGGACTGGCGTCGCGTGGATTACTTGTGGATTATTGTGATGCTTTTATCAGCTGTTTGGACTCTCGTTCTGACGGCACCCATTCACTGCAGAAGATCCACTGGTGAACAAGTGATGCAATGCTACATTTCTCTAAATCTGTTCTGATAAAGAAACAAACTCATCTACATCTTGGGTGTACTTCAAAAATTAATGAATGCATATAAGAGCAGCTGAATATCCATGCTTTAGTACATCGCATCTTGTGATTAAACTTCACCTCCAGCTGCGAAAGAGCGTAACCAGTAGTAGTAGTCTTTCTGGACAGGAGCTGGGATCTGAGCTCGAGTCCCTGAGGACACAGCCTCTGTCGTCATGATGGCTGCTATCAGGACTGCAGTACATTCATGTCTTCAACACACTCTGGAATGGAGTAAACAAATGTGTGCATTGGTATTATTATACCACAATTGATCTGTGCCATGGGCTGGACTATGCACACAGGAAAGTCATATCAGTCATAAACAGTTGGACAGCGTTGTAAATGTATTACTTTACGAGTCATCGGTTTGAGGAAATGTTAACAGATTCAGTTCACTAAACTAGAAAGACAAGCCAAATCATATACAGGTGCCATCCATATAAGTGAGCTACAGGTTGGGAAAGAAGCCGACTATAAAATGAATGAATTTTACTTCAATGTAATAACGACATTTCCAGGTTCTTTAACATTAATATGGAATTCTGTATCAATACTTGTGTAAAGACAAATTACTCAAGACATAATTTATTCTGGCTCCCAAATGCCTTTAAAAACACCGTGCTGGTACCATAGTATCACATGTCAACACCATAGTAATACACAACTCATGGAACTGAATGATTAGCATATTCACGTCAAAAACTACCATGGTAAATGTCCAGAAAACCGTTGTTATTAACGTTACACCAGAGACAGATTCTCTCCTCGTGCAATTTACACTGGACTGTTTGCATCATTCACAAACATAAGCTTCCAGTAGCTCTGACCTGAATTCTTGGAAACAGATGAAATCAATTCTGGCTAAAATCAAGGTCATTGGTTACACAACTGTATAGTATATGTGGACCTGTGTGACACTGAAGCCGTCAGCTCGTCCCGTTATCAACACTGCGTCTGAACAGCGAAAATACTGTACATCAACGACGACAAAACTATTCGCTCTACATTAGATCCATACGTATTTAGTTATTTGTATTTAAACGATGTACTTACGTAAAACACAAATCAAAGAACTGGAATACATTTTCTCACGTGTTTGTCCGCATACCGTGTCCTTCACTGATTCGTTTCCTGTCGCAGAATTACTACGTAACTGCGTGTCACAGCACTTTGAGTTGATCTACATTACATTCATTAATCAGATTTAGTATTATAAAATATTACATATAATTTTTGGCAATACTGTGTAGTGTAAGGTTTTTTATATTGTTATGTGAATTAAAACGAATTAATGTTAATCACGATGATGATGATTTTGATTGTTGTTGTTGATTGCATTCATCCGATTCTTTTTAGGAATTATTGTCTATATAAGAAAACTGCATGCTATAGAACTATAATAGGCCTATATAAGTATAATAATAAAAAATAATAATGTATTGTAATAATGTAATATTATTATAAGGCACAATAGCTGCCTCACCATAATAATATATAGCAGTAGTAGTAGTAAGGACAATGCTAATAATTTTAATAGTTATATTCTATTCATCAATTGTTGTGGAATGAGTGTCTGTATATTAAAATGGCCTAATAATATAATAATAATACAGATATAATTGTCATATTTGTATGCTGCATAAGAACAGACTCTCGAGCGCATTCGCGGACAAGGGTTCTGCTGGATTGGTCAATTCAGAAGTGACGATAGGCATCTCAAGTCGTGGCACGCGCGTTTAGATGTGTTAGCAGTTAGCTCAAAGCACGGCGAGTTAGCAGCCTAAAACCTGATATGATAGACAGACTGATTTCTGCACAGATTGACTAGCCTGGAAACAGAAAGCCAGTCCGGGTTTTCCCGCCGCCTCACGCCGACGTCCATTAAACATCCTGAAGTTGACTGGAGAGTGTAGGTCGAGTCTGGCAGAGGGCTGCCGTCAATGGATTGACATAAGAAGGATTTGCCTTTTATCCGGTGCTTTGGTCTCTGTGGCAGCATGTCAGTGTTACAGCTCGAAGATACGCTGTGAAGACCATATTCACGCGTGCCTGGGGAAGCTCCATCGAGGAGAAATGCTGAAGGGTCGGTCGTGTCGTCCAGGCGGGGAGTATTATTAGCCCTCAGACAGTGCATCTGTCTCTCCGGTATGTGAAGTATTTCAACTCCCTTCAAAGTGTTCATAACAATGCAGCAACCCACGGATTAAAGCCCCCTTGGTCTATTATTTGCTTCGTATTACGTTTGAAAGTTAGTAGAGCGGTTTATAGAAACGGAAACGAACTGTTGTTAGAGATAAGCGTGCGAGAACGTTCAGCGATGAGTCATCCACAACGGCTGTCACAAAACCTAGTTAGTTCCCTTCTCAGACAGCATTTTTGGGCATCTAGGCGCATGACTCTCAATTCTTTTCTTAAATGCTGTGTAGGTGTAGTAGGGAGCTCACTAGGGTTGAAACACAGCCAGTGTATAAACGTGTGTGAGTGTCTTTACATCCACTTGTCAGAACAAACATACCTCACACTTACCTAATTTGTATTTACATTTTACTCATGACAAGTGCCTAAACACTTGTTTCACTTGAGGGGCACTTCCAGCCTCATATACACAGTTGACACTTAAACAAACAGCTGAACCAAATAAACATGTAACTGTAGGAAGTTTGAGTATCCCTTATAAAAAGAGGCATGATACTTAATTATTACCGTAATCATAAACCATGGTATTTAACATGCCGGTGTCCAAAAGCTATGGTAACAATACTGTTTAAAACCCCTGTAATACCATGGTACTTTTTGGTAGGCATGAGGATTTGTCTAATTAGCATATAGCAATTAGCTCATGTGTTTGTGCACTGAATACATTGTACCTAAAGGCAGCATAATATTTCCTTTAGTGCACCAACATTTCACAGTAGCATTATTGTGCATTTTTCCTGACTGAAATATATTCACTTATGTTCTTTATTTACTTAGGGAGCTGGTTAATGGTAGAAACTAGGGTTGGGTATCGTTTTTTTTTTTTTTTTGATACCGGTGCCAAATCGATCCTTTTAAAACGGTTCCAATGCCTAAACGGTGCCTGAACCGATACTTATTAAAAAATAAATAAATAAAAATTCCCCCAAAAAATTATGGATTGGCCATTAGAATAGAAATAGAACAGAGAGTGCAAATGTTAAGAGGGTCAAGTTTTTTTTTAATTAAAAAAACAAGCAGATAAAATTAGAGGTAGCATTAGAATAGAGAGTGCTAGAGTTAGAGGGTCAAATGAAGATGAAAGAGATGTATTTTTAGCCGTTTCTTGAAAATATTAAGGACTCAGCTGCTAGGATTGAGCTGGGCAGGTCATTCCACCAGGAGGG